TATTTAATAGTACAATCCCTATTTCACAAAGGGATGAAAATGACTCTAAGATGCTTGCCAACTATATACATGTTTACTTACACTTTAATGAAGTTTCTACTGTATATTCTATTCATATTATCATATGTCTATTCAGTAAACACAACCCAGCAACGTTTGAGTCGACGAAAAAAATATGTCTCAAGGAATGCATGGTCATTACCTCAGTCTGCACTTATAAAATCAAAGGATGTAAAGATTTGTTTAACAAATAAATAAGGCGCAGCCATGGTTCTTAACATTTTTTTGTGTGTTTCAAATACCAAGCGTGCGTTTATCAGAGTATAAACCACGGCTGAGCCTTATTTCTTTGTTTTATTAAATAGATTCTGAGCAAAACTTAAGCAAAAATCCATTTTGTTGCCTTTTTGAAAATGAAGTCATTAAATTTCATTTGGCCATGAAATGAAAGATACTAAGTGCGACAAGTATCGTTTGTGGGAATTTGAAATTGAAGAACAAAATTACAATTATTGATTTATGATCGAGTGTATTTTGACAATCACTAGTTTTACCTTTCTTTCATGGTGGAATGAATGCTCAACATATTCACAACCATTAAAATTAATAATGTGACAAAAGACAAAGTGCCTAATAGTTTTGTAATCAACTGTCACTTTTGTCACATTATTTATATTTTAATGGTTGTGAATATGTACATTTACAGTAGAGACCTGTGAAAACATGCCTGAAAAAAAAAAAAAAAARAATTTTAAGGAATATTAYTGCTTCACATGTWTAWRAGMAATACGCAKTATTTTGAACTATTATATGTTCATAGTCATTGATTGGTCTCCCTGTGCTGGACCCAGGAGAACTGAGCCGATTGCACTGAATGCACTAATACGTTTTTGGTGAGACTCAAAGAACTGAAGAAGAAACTCTCCAAAGTGAATCAAAATAAAGAGAGAGGATTGATGATGAAGAGGGAGATCTCAGAACATGCCTTAAAATGCCATAGACTCAAGTGGACAATGGTAACAAAACCTTTGACAACATTCCAGGTGGAAAAGACAAAGGGATGGTTTTGAAGGCTTTAGCCCAGTGCAAGGAAGAGATGGTGAAAAACAAAACTACCCAGACAGAACTGGAGAAAAAGCTCTCCAAAGTGAATCAAAATAGAGATAAAGGATTGATGATGAAGAGGGAGATCTCAGAACATGCCTTAAAGAAAACTGTGGTTTGGAGTTTTCTTCTAAACTTGAAGAGCAAATGCAGAAATGGCAAAACCACATGGAAGAGACTGCCAGCTGCCTGTGTAAAGAATGTTGAGGAAATGTTGAACAGAAATGAGATGGGAGAAATTTTGGAAATGAAGAAAGTAGTGTTAGAGCAGTTGCATGAGTATTCTAGTTTACCCTCATATTTGTCAATGGAAGACACTAAGACTATCCAAAACTTTGAAATGGGATTTCAAAAACATGAAGTTTGTTGTTGTGCATGGTGGACATTTTCTCTGATAATAAGCTTATTCGTCCTTTTGACAGGTCTTGTTTTTAATCCTGCAGGGTACATGCTATACCCTCCTCACCAATATGTGATACTGGTGGGGGAGCCAGATTAGACGCCGGCCACTCGTCCATGAGGCAGGTAGTACTGGGTTACATGTTACTAGTAGCAGACTTGATGCCTGACCTGACTAACATATGTATTATTAAATTATCAACAAACAGTTAATCCACATTTTATATGATCTGAAAGAGGCTACTTGAATGAAACTTGTCAAACATTGAAAATGACTTGAAAATTTAGTAGATAAACTTCTATATTGAGTCACACTGTAAATAATCATGAAACAATCTTGAACTATTATATGTTCATAGTCATTGATTGGGCTCCCTGTGCTGGACCCAGGACAACTAAGTCGATTGACGCATGGTCGATGGTCTGCACCGACTGCACTAATACGTTTTTGGTGAGACTCACAAAACTGGAGAAGAAACTCTCCAAAGTGAATTAAAATAAAGAGAAAGGATTCACGATGAAGAGGGAGATCTCAGAACATGCTCAACAAGCAGACAATGGGAGCAAAACCTTTTGCAGTGGTGATACTAATGTGCATGTGTTATATATTTTGCTTTCAGATTATATTACCTTTAAGGTTAAAAGAGCCTCTTATTTTGGGGCGGGAGACACACTGCCTGGCAGTGTGTCCCCTCCCCATACACCTATCACATCTCAGATCTGCAATATGATATAAATAATAATCAGGGACATCAGAATTACACTTGGTCTGTATGACATA